TCCATTTGAGTGTAGAGTTTATTTGTTGTAGATAGTTCATTTCTTAGAATTATCATAGTTTGGCTTGATAGGTAAAATTGAAACCTCTGGCGTAATATTAAAACATCTTTTTCACACCTGAAAAAAAACTGTTTCTCAACGCGCGAATTGAATAAAACTAATTATGCTAATTTGTTTCCAGTGTCACTATTTTTCAGGTTTGAAGGGCGTCGATTTTTCGAATTACTTCCCGAGGTTCAGCTGGCGCGAGTGGCTAGCTTCTTCAGAGGTTCATACATCCTTATTTTATCTCCGATGACGGGATATGGCTGCGTAAAACGTATTTATGTTGACGCAGGTAGTTCGGTTTGCTAATACCTTTACCTAGATTAGGTAAATTGCGTAAAGCGTGTATTACCGAAGTATTACCTCTCTGAAACAACTCTACACAATGAGACTCACAAGATTCTTGGAAACACGTATGGAATGTGTGTTCTTCAAGATTTTGAGGCCCTCACTCCTAACTTGCTTGCCCGGCGCCTCCACCACGTGTCGCAACTCAGTTCTCGCTTGGCTATTAACGAGAGGATTTTTATTTGCTGTTTCACCCATTCATTCATTCATCCAAATAATAAAAGAACTCATTTAAAACTTAATTAAATGTTTATTGTAAAAGAAACGGAAAAAAATACTTTAAATAAACTCAAACTCAAATGTTAATAAGAAAAATACATTGAAATAATCAAAAAACTTACATTATACTGCCACCCAGCAGGATTGAAGAGAAGGAGATGTGCTGCATTTCTGATGACCCAATCGATACGTAAATGAATACTGTCTGTTGACTGTTAACTGTTAATTGTTAACTATGGTCCATGATCTTGACCTCCCTCAATATTTATAAAGAATTATACGCTGACATTGCGACTTTGATCCGGTCACTGTACTGAGGTAAAATGCACAGCATGCAATCTGTGCCAAGTTTGCATATTTGGAGATTGTTTTATATTCCATATCCTGTGATCGGATCAATTTCGATGTCTATGAACTTGAAATATCAAAAGATGGAATTCTGAATACTGAGTGTTCGTGTGTTAAAATATTGAAGTGAGGTTGGAATATCTTTCAATTCATGTATTTACTTAAATGAATCTGAATCATTTCATGATTATTTTCTATATTTGACAATATGCTGATTCAGGTAGTCTGGTATGACAATACACGTACCTTGATTAGATAAATTGTCAATAACATTATTCGACCCTTTTCTACATGCCGTCATGGGATTCCATATTCGGTTGAGGTTCACAGCTCCTTCTTTTTTGTTGAAACTATCCGTGTGTTTGTGGATATCTATTGCCTCCTGTACCAGTCAGCTATGGTATCTGCAGGATATTAGTGTGAATCATCCTGAAGTTGAGAATTAACAGTTTTAGTTTTTATATACTGGTGTTTTTTATGTATTGTAGTTGGAAAATAAACGTAAAAGAGAAACCATTGTGTATTATTTGGAGTAATGAAATCACCCTCAAATTAGGGAAGAATACATTACAAGTGGCGAGTGTGTCAAGTGTCAAGTAGTTGATGTTTACATATTGCTGAGATTTTGTAGAAATCAAAATGACAGTAAAACAATTAGCCAGTCATATCCAGGAATTCGATTCTATTGGTTCCGACCGGTCGGTGTATTAAAAACGTCTGGGAAATTATTTCACGGCAAACAGCATTGACAATGAAAGTAGGAAACGAGCAATACTGTTGAGTTTATTGAATGAACCCGCGTATAAATTAGTGAGTAATATGTGTATACCAAATGAACCGGAAACAGTTAAATATGTGGATATAATTTCCTTAATGGATGAACATTTCAAACCAATAAAATTAGTGTTTTTCAACCGAGAAACATTTTTTAAATCAAGAAAAATGGCGAATGAAAGTCCGAAAGACTGGGCAGCACGGTTACGCAGTTTGGTGGCCGTTTGTCAGTTTGATGGTTCTTCCGAGATTGAAAAAGCATTAGTCAATCAATTCATTATCGGTTATGACAAGGGAGCAGTTAAAGACCGACTTTATGAAGAGAATGCAGGAGTCAAGTTTTCCAAAGTGATTGAGATTGCATCCTCCAAATCGGCCAACCGCACCTGTCTTTCAGCCGAAGTTAAGCAAGAACCAAGGATTCATTTCGCTGGCGCAAATTCACCTAAATCCAGAGTAGGTAACCAGCCATACCCGTCAACTTCTGTGGCATCGGGGTCACGAAGCAGCTGTTCCAGAAGAAACAATCGTGACTGTTTTTGCCATTTTTGCAATAAAAAGGGTCATTTGGCACCAATGTGCCCAAATAAAAATTCAGGTAGTAAAAATAGGAATTTTCATAAAAACAATTTTCTAGATTCTGAGGAATATTCATTATTTACCTTGAATAACGAAACCAAATCGGTTTCAATAAATTTATCTGTGGATAAAAAAATGTACACTTTTACTTTGGATACGGGAGCTAGTTTTTCTGTAATGTCGGAATCATTTTATAAATTAAATTTTGATGAAGGACGGTTCAGTACGCATTTGCGGGGACTTCAAAGTTACGATAAATCCTTTCATAGAAATTGACCCTTATCCATTACCAAAAATTGAAAATTTGTTCAGTAAACTAGCTGGTGGTGTCCACTTCACTAAACTAGACATGTCCAATGCTTATCAGCAGATTTGTTTAGATGAGACTTAGAAAAAGTATGTTACAATTTCGACACACAAAGGCTTGTATCGATATAATCGTGCTCCATTTGGTATTTTAAGTATGCCATCCAAATTCCAAAAAATTTTAGATTCTCTATTAGTAGATTTGGATAAAGTGGTCTGTTTTTTGGACGACATTCTTATCACGGGAAAAACCAGAGAAGAACATCTTTTTCGTTTAGAAACAGTGCTTTCACGTTTACAAAAGGCGGGACTTGAATTATCTTTCAACAAATATATTTTTTTTTAATCCAAAATATCGTATCTTGGACATGACATTAGTAAAGAAGGTTTGCATGCTTCTGATTCTAAAATTTCCGCTATTATTAATGCACCAATTCCATTCGATGTAACTTCATTACAATCTTTTTTAGGTTTAGTGAACTACTATGGCAAATTTATAAAAAAATCTTTTCATTTTGTTACAACCTCTTTACAATTTACTGAAGAAAAATACGGTATGGAAATGGACAAATTGTTGTCGAAAAGCGTTTGAGGAAGTAAAAGAAAAATTAATTTCTCTTCCTGTTTTAGTTCATTTTAACCCAGAACTACCTATAAAGTTAGTTACCTATAGAGTACATTACCTAATGGCATAGAATGGGTTATAGGTTATGCTTCGCGTACTCTTTTAGAAAGAGAGAAAAAATATTGTATTTTAGAGAAAGAAGCTCTAGCACTTATTTTCGGTTTGAACAAATTTCATTATTACTTGTTCGGAAAAAAATTTACATTGGTAACCGATAATAAACCTTCATCATATATATTCCATCCTAATAAAAAAATCCCTGAATATGCTGCAAATAGATTGCGAAGATGGGTAATTATTTTGTCGAGTTATCAATATGACATAGAAGTTGTGAAATCAGAAGATAACCCAGCAGATTCTCTGTCTAGATTTCCTCAATCAATTGAGGACAATTCAGAGGAAAATGCTGATTTTAATTTTGTTCTAATTCATCTATGAATAAGATACGCATATTATTTGACGTCCTTTAATCATTATAAAATCTGTAACTGTAACAAAAATTGCATTATAAATTATTGCGATTTTTGTGATTGCATATTCTTTACTAAATTCTGAATCCTTGGTTCAATGTTACTTAAACTTAAACGCATATCAGCAGTGGCATCCAATCGATTTCGGTGCTTGTTTTTAATAATCAGAAGCGCCGAAAACATAGATATGTCGAAGAAAATAAAGTTAGGTAACGAATAGCAATGTCTCGAAGTTTTGGTAAAGAAATTACCCTTTGGCTCCAAAATGTTTCAAGATTAATTCCTGATTCGAATGTATCTTTTGAGTTGCTGTCGTGTAGCATATCAATTACTTCTTCTTGAATTTCACCAGGCACCTCAGAAACGTTTACAATAAATGAATTGCGGATCAGTTTTTGAATACTTTTATCCTGGCGGTCGGGAAAATAGCGAATGAATTCAATTTTTAAGTTTTTTAAATGTAATGTTTTTTTGTATTCCTCTTTTAATTTCAGCACTCTGTCCATCAATGATTTGATTAAGCTTGTTAACTTCACAAAAGTCCGTTTACTCCAACACTTTTTAATTGTGAGTAACGGAAATACCTTTAATATACTGTTTTTACTGTTTGTTGTTTATCATGAAAACGATTTTAGAATAGTAGGGCAAAATAAAACAAATTTTTTATTTTTTAGGGACAATAAACAAATATGTTTTGTACTTTCAACTTCAGAATAAACACCAGTACATTGGTATATGAAGTAAAAAATCGTATCTTACAGCTTAAAGTTTAGCTTTCTTGGTTTTTTAGAGAGTTCGTTCAACACTTCCTCACAACTTACACTAACGTCCTTGGAATATACAGCAAAGCTAGACCATTTAGTCTTGCTTCTTTGCTAGAGTTTCTCAGATACTCCTTTAAGTAGCGGAGTGTAGAAAAAGACCGTTCTGCAGTGCACGAAGTGACCGGCAATGTTGCTAGAATCTGTAAGAGCTTGAAGACAGCCGGAAACATATACCTGTTACACGACTGCAATGCTTCAATTCCAGATATCTTTTTTTGTAGATGCTTGGTCGGCTTTGACTGTTTATGGGTCTCTTCTCGAAGTTGGTTTACTGCAACTAATCTCTGGTGCCATATTTTAATTTCGGCAAACAGTTCAGCAGGTCCTTGGATGTACGACAATAAATCACTTTGGTACATCTTGAAAAGTATTTCACATGACACCTGAGTAGTTTTATTTTCCATTTTTGAGTTTGTCAAAACATCAAAAGATGTTAGAACATCCTTGTGGGAGATAAAGCGCTCAGTAAGCTGGCTGATGAAGTGGACCATCATTTTCTACATTTTCTCTGCACGTCTGCCGTGATGTTGTACGAGGGATGTCTATAGAGAAACCCTCTCTCTTGACTATATCTTGAGCATCTTTAAAAATTACAGAAAATTCTTCATCATCCTTTTCCCTTACTTCCTTCAGTACATTTACTGTTGATTCTGCATAGTTTACAGCACTTGTAAGATCAATTTCTTCCGTCTCCAAATACTTTGTTAATGGAAGACTGAAAGTAAATATCTTCTTAATTACAAACAGTGATAAAATAAAGTCAGCCTTAGTCAAGGCGCAATGCAGTATATTGGCGTTTGAACTACTTTCTCGATCATCCCATGTTGATATGTCTTCTAAGCTCCTCAGTATTGCTTCATAATTTTCAGCAAAAACCATTATTGCTTTGTGCCGCTGGATCCATCGGGTAGGACTACATTGCATCAGTTTATTGGAGTTTTTCTCCAAGAATTTCTTTAAAACTGCTTGCCTTTTTGGAGTATGTAGAAAATCATAAGTTTTACTTACTGTACCCATACAGTTTCTTATCATGGTACTGTTGCAAGCATCTGATATAGCCAAGTTCAAAGAATGGCTGCTGCAATGGACATATAAAGCGCTTGGAACTTCTTTTTTTATGAACGCCTGCACACCATTAAAAGCACCACTCATAGCAAACGCCCCATCATACCCTTGACCTCGTATGTACTCTGTAGATATGCCAAAACTTCTTAGTTTCTTTAAAATAATATCGCTCAATCCCTTTCCAGTCAAATCATTAACTGGAACAAACTGCAGGAAATCTTCTCTTATGGTTAATGTCTCTTGATGAATGTATCTAGCACAAAGTGACAGCTGTTCTGTGCACGAAATGTCAGTAGTCTCGTCAGCTATTACCGTAAAACACTGAGCAGCATTTACTTTAGCCACCAATTTTGTCAAAATTAAATCATTACATGTTGATATAATTTCATTTTGCGTTTTTGCGCTTATATATGTTGCATTTTTGTCTGCATTCATCAAATGCTGTTTTAAGTCTTCATCACCACTTTCAACCCGCATTCTCAAAAGTGCCCGAAAATTACCTTCGTTTTCAACAAGGTCTTGGTCGTCTGTAATGTTAAGTATACCTCCATCCCTATGACCCCTTAAGGCCAAACCTTGTCTGCCACAAAATATGACAGTTTTTATGACAGGAGTTAAACGGCGTCTATTTTCTTTGGCCTGGTCAGCTCCACTCTTATCTATTTGAGCAACAATGCTTTGTTTTGCGCCACGCCTGATGGATAAAAAGTTTTCAGCATCAAGTTTGCATTTTGAGTGGTAAGAAGTCAACTGATGTTTGGAAAAATCTTCAAGAGCATGTTTCCAATCACAATACTTTGATGTGACCAACCTTCCAAGTGGCAATCCTTGTTTTCCTGCTCCGCATGGCGCAAATAAAAAACAATATTTACACAAAGCTCCGTTCAGTTTCTTTGAGTAGGTTACCCACTCTTTTGATTTTAGCCAGCTGTACTGAAATTTCAGTTGGCGCTTTCCAAACTGCGTAGACGGGAATTTGAAATTTTCATCTGGCACCCAAGCATCCGTCAAAAGTTTCTCCTTTTCTTCTTCGGTTACCTAAAAATGTATAGCCATCATTAGGGAATACTGACTTGAAAATAAAGAGCAAACAATTTTATATTTACCTGTCCGTGAATATATAATCCTATGTCATTAGGATAAAAATCATTTAAGTTGCAACCATCTCCATCTTTGCCATCTGCGTCAGGTTTTCTATGCAATTCACTCAATTCAGTATTTTTGGTAGGTATGTTCATAGATCCAGATCCCGCATTTTCCGTGTCATCTGGAGCTTCCTTAGGCACAGTTTGCTTCTTGAAAAACTTAAATAGAAATAGTGTACCCTGATCTCACTCATATTTAGAAAAAACCTCTCAAAAATAGTGGAACATACGTCACTTTTCGGCGCACAACAATAGCTCAGCTGAGCTCTACACACGTACACTGCACTAGACGACAGACTAGAGAGAACTGAGACTTTGAGAACAGAGAACAAAGCTCACAACTCACGTCGGCGTTGGCACTTTTGGACGAGTCCATTTCATGGCGAGGGCGGGGGAGGGCGCACCTGTTCTGGGAAGTTCGGGTGAGTCCATTATTAATGAACTTTTCGGGAGGGGATTCTTCGTATATTACGTACGTTTACGTTTACGTTTAGTTACGCTAAAAAAGGAAAGTGAACTAAGTTTGGTAAAACTGTTATGTTTGTGTCATTAATTTTTTTTTAATATCATACTAATTATTTTTTTATTTTGAAAAATTTAATATTAGCCCTGGGGGGGGGGTCCGGTCCCGCTCGTCCCCCCCCTTGGGCACGCCCCTGCGTCAAAGCAAAGCATTCTGAAAGCGTCTTGGCAGCTAGTGCTTGACGATGAATAAGGCAGTGCGTAGTAATTGCAAACGGATTTTTGGTTTTTATCAATGCTGCAAGACCAGAGCGAGAACCAAGCATAGCAGGAGAACCGTCCGTACAAAACCCCGCAATTCCTTCCCACATAAGTCCATGTTTCTCCGTGAATTGACTTATTGCATCTATAACATCTGCACCTTGCGACTTCGTTTCAAGTTCTTGAGAAAATAGTAACTTTTCTTCAAACATTTTAGCGGCGGGTCGCATTGTATCGTGTCGACTCATCTGACATATTTTTTAGGATGGTTCTGCGGACCGCTTGGGATGCTTCCAGGGACCACCAGTGGTCCGCGGACCACCGGTTAAGAACCACTGCTCTAGATGCTCTGGTTCACATACAGGCCTTTTCATCACAATTTTTTTTTGTGTGCATGCGTCAGTATCAGCCATGTTTTTCGTACTGTTTTTTGTAAACAATCATGTGTTAAAGAGCCCGCAACTCATGTTTTGAAAATTAAAATATAAATTGAAGTTTATTAATTGTAAGAAAAGTGACAAAAAATAAAGTAGTGCGTCAAAATAATCAGAAAAAAATTTTTATACTCCATTATAATTATGTTATCTGTACGAAAAGGAACAACAAAACGGTGTTGTTATGGAGTATGTAAAAGTGATACAGGATACAAATCATTCAAAACCAACACATACTACTTTATAAATTTTCCAAAGCCTTGTCTTGAATATCGAAAAAAAAATCAAATCATCAAGCAAATTACATATTGAAGCATGTGCGAAATGTGAATTATGGGTGAAAAAATGTGGCAGGAGTGACCGAGGCTTTAAATCTATTGATGATGTTACCAAGGATACTTATATTTGCTTATATAATTTCAACATACGTACATTATTCCTTATTGCATTTTTGACTGTAAATTTCATATATATTATGTTGCATCAAATATTCTCCTCTAATAAAAATTACTAAACATATTCAATTCAGTAGGTATTTACATATTTGTCTAATTAATAATGTCATATGTACAGCCTCAAAATAATAATGGCTTCATTTATTTATTAGTTCCATAAGTAATACTCTTGTCAACTGAAATATATTTTCAATTACATCAAATAAATTGACATTATTAATAAGAATAAAACTGTAAATACTATTTTTTTTTAATGTTTTTAGATAATAAACAAATGCTGATACCTAACCTCTCAATCAGCTCACTTATTTTCCTTTTTGCGGACGCCCATGACGTTTTAACCACCTTTTAAATTGTTCACAATTATGAGCCTCAACTGAATTATAAACAAGTGAAGCACCATCAATGGTTTTTCTAGTAATTTATTTGTTTGTAGAGATAATATTCCTTGCCCAGCCATTGTTGATTAAAACAGTACGAATGTTTTGAATTACCGCCATTTCAATATGACAGCTACGCTTGTGCTCGTCTTATGATGAAAAGATCTATTCTCCGAGCCCGTTTAGTTAGAGTAGAGATGACTCCCCTCTTTCGACTAGGATGGTGGTTTGATAGTGCGTACAGGTACCTATCCATTTGCGTAGATTTCTGGTACATTTTGTAGGTTGGTCTAGCACCGCATTTATAGGAATGCTATCCGCTGGTCCTGTTCAGTCTCCATGGTGAACTTGTTGCTGGCGTGTAGAGCTTTCAAGTGATCTAGGAAAAGGTTGGGAGTATCTCTTCCATGTTTCCAGGTGACGAAGGTGTCATCCACACAACGTATCCACAAGGTCGGTTTTAATTCATAGGTATCGATTGATTTATCTTCAAAACGTTCCATGAAGTAGTTGGATATAACTGGGCTCTGAAGAGTTTGACGATATCAATCGGAAACAAGTGGCCCCTTCAGAGAGTTTTCCAGGGGAACTTTGGTAAACTAGGAGAACATTGAAGCTGACCAGAATATCTGTTGGCTCTAGAGTTAAGTCCCTAATTTTACCAATGAAGTCTGTCGAGTCCTTGACGTAGGAGTTTGTCTTTCCCACATGAGGCTGGAAGAGCACGATCAGAAGTTTCGCCAGGTGGTAGATCGGCGAGTCTGGGGCACCGACTATTGGTCTCAGTGGCATATTGATTTTATGTACCTTCGGTAGACCGTAGAGCCAGGATAGAACGGCTTCAGTTCTGAGAATGGTTCTCTGTACGGTTTTCGACAGTGAGAAAGATTTAAAGATTTTGTTAAGTCTTAATCATTTTGCTAATTTGTCTAGCGAAACGCGTGTCGAGAGACAGACATTTGTTCAGGTGTGGAAAACGTTGTTTTCGGTAGATCAGAGTTTAGATTCGAATATTTCCCCTATCAGAATGTGATTCTTTTGGAACTATTTGAACCTGTGGTTCATTTATTCGATATGATTCCGTTTATTTTGAAATATTGGCGACACTAACAGCAACCGTTTTTTCAGCGTTGACAAAACATTGAATCATTATTATTTCTTCATTTCGGTATCTGATCAACACTGACAATGAACTTGTTTTTTCCTTAATAGTGTCCACAATATATAGTTAAATATATTATTCTGTTATTCATTAATGCTAATGGAATATCGATGAAAAAATGCTCATTTTGCCATTGAATCTGAAACAATAAGGCAGGTAGTATCGAAATTGAATGGCAGTAAAGAGTTTTTGAAAAATATGAACATAGTTGAATACGGAATGTCAGTAGATATTTCAAAGAGTTGTGAATTTACTCAATTCGTATTTGGTTTACGCATCTCTGCAAATTATCAATAGAATTAGTCCGACAAGTTATCAACATTAAAAAATGAACAAGAATTCACTTCTCTTATAAACCGTTTGTTGAAACAGAATTACACGTTTTGCTCAATAGAAAACTGCACAACAAAACTTCTGCGGGACCAGATGAAGTGACGATGTTCATTCTGCTCTTAATAATAATAATATGTTATTTACTTAAGATCCAAATACAAATGAGAAGTACAAATTGAAAGTTCAAATAAATAACGAGATGCTCGATAAGTAAGTGAATACTTGTTTCAAAATACAAATTTGGTGTGAATGGGCATATACAATCATACATTGAAATAGTTAAACAAAAACATAGAATGAATAACATATACAGGTATTCGACTACGAACATATTCAATCGTAAATGTAATCAAACATGTACAGCTATTATAATTTGTTATTATACTTAAAATAAAATATAATGAAAAAAACACTATAATACAATACAAAGACACAGTTCAAGATTATTTAGCTTTCAACCAGTTCTGTTTAATATAATATATCAATCGTTTGTATTTCTGCTTGATAAGAGTGAGACATAGGTATTTTCATTTTCCTTGAAATAAAAATATGAAAACAAATAGTATAACACAGAACACAATTTTCAAGCAAATATCAAACTTTTAAACAGTTCAGTTCAATACAATATATCAATAATCTATATACCTGTTTGCTAACAGTGATAAATCGGCATTTAAAAGGTTTTCAATTTTCATTTTCCTTCGATTATTTCAGTGACCTTGTAGTCACAGATTTTTTTTTTAATTCTTTCTTGAAAGTAAAAATGTTTTTGTTTTCGGTTATTAATTTGGGAATAGAATTATATACTTTAGGCGCAATGTATCTGTATGACCTTTGACCAAACGATTTAGCCATGTGAGGTACTATATGTTGATTTTTCTGGCGAGTTTCGTAATGATGAGTAGGTAGCTGTGCCTGATTCTGCGAAGTATGATATTTCAAACCAGTTTTCAGACAGTACAATTGCCTTGGATCAAGGATATAACTTTCACTAAAAAGCTGGTCTGAAGGATATCTGTTGTTTTTTGATAGCATTATTCTCAGAAATCTTTTTTGAATGGTTTCCAGAGGCTTAAGGTGCGTTCTTAGTGCGTCGCCCCATCCCAAAATACCATATCTCAAATGACTTTCTACCAAGTCGTGGTACAAGGTTTTCAGCTGGTTATATCTCAGTATTTTATTCAAATATTTGAATCTATATAATATTGTTTGTAGTTTTTCAATAATATAAGTGATATGGTGATTCCATTTCAAATGACAATCGAATATTTGATTTTTTCTACTGATTGAATTTTGATGGGTAGACCTTGAATGTTGACCTCTAAATTGTTAAAGGGAATGTGTTTTGATTTGTTGCACGTGAATGTCATGTAATACGTTTTTTCTGAATTTACTGTAAGGAGTTTGTGTTCTAACCAGGTTTTAATACGACTAAAGCCTTTTTCTGTTTTTTCCTTAAGAGAAATCCAGCTCTCGTCTTCATATAATATGGCTGTGTCATCAGCAAATCCTGTAATATCCCCACCACTCTCTAGCGCAAATGAACCATTTTTTTTTTAATTATTATTCTGGCATCGACTGCTGAGGTCATTAGCCATTTTGTAGTATACGATATCTGTTTATATTTTGTTAAAAAGGTCTGTTGCTTTCAGAAAGTTTAAAACATTTCTTATATCTTTGATACCGAGGCAAGTTCTGATATTATCCGGTAAGTTATATCGTTGTCGATCGGCTTCATACTGGTGGAATTCTAAGAGAAGGTGTTTAACCGTCATTAAAGTTTGGTAATTTTCGCAGGATGGTTGTATTTGTCTTCTCAGTATATAAGAGGACGTTAAGTTCGTATGTCCTATCCTAAGTCGTGTTATTATGACTTGTTCTCTTCTAGTTAGCCCTTGTGAAAGTCTCATGGCTGCAATATCAGGTTTGATATCTTTCAATTTTGAATCGTTGTTTGTCCATTCGTGTTGCCATGTGTTGAGTATTGAGTTTTTTATGATTTTTTTTGTGTCATTTGGACTCACAGGTATATTCAGATCGACGTTATTCTCAGTTGCAGCCCTTGCTGCATTGTCAGCTTTCTCATTACCGTCAATTCCTATATGACTAGGAACCCAAACAAATACGATCGATTTTCCTTTGGACTGGAGACAACTAATCAGTGTTAATATTCTTTGAACCAGCGGATGTTTACTGAAAGAGTTTTCAATTGCTTGCATAGAACTCAGCGAGTCTGTGCAAAGGATGTATGAATGAAAATTACATAAGTCCATGTATAGTAATGCTTGCCAGATTGCATGTAGTTCTGCTGTGAAAACACTCGCTTAATTCGGTAAGGTCCAGAAGTGGGTTGATCCCAAACATGCGAAAGCACTTCCAGTTCCTTGCTCAGTCTTCGATCCATCCGTGTACACTATATGGCTATTCGGGTATGTTTCAATTATTCTTTTGAATTCAGCCCTCATCACCGTTGGATTGATTTCCTCTTTGTTGAATACATAACAATCTAAGTTGCTTTCAATCGGTTTCATTTCCCACGGGGGAGACTCGCAGAATCCTAGCTTGTATGTATCTGGAAAGCGGGTATCCATTGAGGACAACAGCTCTTTCAGTCGTACACCGGTTGGGCGGGAAATAGTAGGACGTCTTGCGTAAATGGATTCGTCTTCCTCTATAAACATAAATGGAAAATTAGGGTGTGATGGTTGGGAACAAATTCTAATCCCGTATGCTGCTAAAAGTTGGTTTCTTCTGTATTCAAGTGGCGGTATCCCTGCTTCACAACACAATGATTTAAGCGGACTAGTCCGGTACTGGCCCCCAAGGCCAGTCGCAATCCAGTACAGTGGATTAAATCTAACACTCTGAGAGTAGAAGAACGAGCTGCACCGTATATGGTACAACCGTAGTCCATCTTAGACATCACTAGAGTTTTATATAGTTGCACTGCGATGTCTCTATCACTTCCCCACCTAATCTCAGATACTGCTCGCACAGGGTTCAAAGCTTTTTTGCATCTTACGGCTAAGTCATTGATGTGAGATTTCCAATGCAGTTTTCTGTCTAGAATCAAAACAAGAAATTTGAGTGTTTCAACACATTCAATGTACTGGTTTTGTAATTTCAATTTTGGGTCATTGTGAATATTGCGTAGACGACAGAAGTGGATACACTTAGTCTTATTGGTAGAGAATTTGAAACCAAGACAGTTTGCATTATTTTCCAATTTATCGATAGTGTCTTGAAGCGTTTCTTCTATTGTTTGTATTGATGAGGAAGAAAAAAATTGCCATATCATCAACATACAAGCTTTTTCCTACCATTGGGTTGATGTTTTCAATGATATTGTTGATTGCTATCGAGAAAAGGGTGACACTAAGTGTTGATCCTTGAGGGACTCCGTTTTCAAGCTCTCGTTGGGTGGAGATAGTATTTCCATTTCTGATAGAGAATTTCCGATTATTCAGAAATCCTTCAATGAATATTGGTAAGTTCCCTCTGATTCTCCAATCATATAAGGTTTTGAGAATATTATAACGCCAAGTTAGTTGTGTCATACGCTTTCTCTATATTAAAGAAAACGGCGACCATGTGTTCTCGTTTCGCGAAGCTATCTTGGATTGAGTATTCTAAAAGTGTGAGCTGGTCGGCTTTGGACCTATAGCATCGAAAACCCGCTTGATATGGTGATATGAGGTTTTTTGTTTCTAAAATCCAATTCAGGCGTTTGCTCACCATCTTCTCTGAGTGTTTACTCATACAACAGGTGAGTGATATCGGTCTGTAGCTTGACGGCAATTTCATATCTTTATCTTGTTTGAGAACAGAAATGATGATAGCTTCCCTCCATTTATTGGGATATGTTCTTTCTAGCCATATCCTGTTATATAGTTCCAGAATGACTGTTTTTGCTTTCAATGGGAGTTTCTTTATGAATTCATATGGAATATTGTCGTTACCCAGAGCAGAGTTTTTTGTTTCATTCAATGTAATCTCAACTAATACTCGGTATTTTCTTCGGTACTCAGTATGTTGTCAATTCTTACTACTTGCTTTCTCTTTGAGAGATAACTTTGGAATAATTTCAGTGAATTTTCTCGGACGCCAATGTCTTCTGGAGAATGCAAGAGTAAGGGATGGCTTACAGTGTCGAAAGCTTTCGACAGATCTATGAATAGGCAGAAGCATGCTTTATTCTCACTAAGAGCACTGCTGATTTTTTTGGTCAGTTCATGAATTGCGTCTTCTGTGGATGCATTCTTCATGAAGCCAAATTGGTGATTCGAGATAATACGGT